ATGCAAACATCTACCAGTGCTTTACATCAATGAGCTGCTTAAACACCTGCCAGGTGCTTTACATGAATTAGTTCTGTCTCATGTTAATCAGACTGGCTTGCCAGGGGTTTATGACCCCTGTGTCGGAGAGGAAAAGAGCCTAAAGCTGCTGTACCAATTCAGAGGAGCCATGCACCAAGTCTTGTCCGGAGACACAGAGCCTCTTAAGATACCTAAACAATGTGAGTACCGCGGAAACAAGCTGGGAATGTCGCTTGGCAATACAAATACCAATAAAAGGCAAAACAAAATATTTCCAAAAATATTTACATATTTTGTACCAATATATTTTTTGGCCATTTTTAATATATATATATTTTTGTACTATTTATAAAGTATTTCAAATATATATATTTTACCCTCCTTATGTCAAGAAAATACATTCACATGTCATATTTGAAGAAACACTGGACATAAAACATATATGCTAGTACTGTTCTATCCACATTTGCCTCTAAAATTCAATTTAAAATTTAACTTTGGTATATAAAGGTTGAAACTAAATGTATTTTCAAATATATATATATTTATTTACGTTACAACATTTTACATATACATTTATTTAGCATATATAAAAAAAACAAAAAACAATTGGCCAGAAAATGTTTATTTTATTTTATATTTTTGTCATATGGGTCAAAAAGACAGTTAATTCAAATATGATCTAAGGAAAGTCTGTTTTTTTTTTGTTTTTTTTTACTTTTTTCATTCAGGTCATAGAATTGATTCAGAGGCATAGGAGTCTACCACACACTGGAAGAAAGAGCTCAATGGACATCAAAGGGACAGTCAGACATCAAGCGATCCGAAGGGCTGCTCCTCTTCATTTCATGTAGTCACCCATGTATCACCTTTGTGATGTCTGTTTAGCTCAAATCCCTGACATATATCGTCAATGGGTCGATCACGTCCTAACATCTCCTTAAGATCTGGATGAACCACCTGATCCCGTCCACAGCTTTGATAGCTGTCTGTTGTCAGGTAGTGAGAGGACGTCAGATGTCATATCATATCACTCCATCCATTAATCTTAATCAATGTTAATACTACAACTGGAAAGTATGGCAATAAAAGCTCCTCTAACAAAACTGTACTTGAAAAGTATGGTTCAAACTAGAGCCCGACCGATATAGGTTTTTTGGGGCCGATACCGATATTTGAGAGTAAAAAAAGGCCGATATCGATATATCGGCTGATATTCTTTGTGTATATTATAGTATAGTACCAGTCAAAAGTTTGGACACTTTCCCATTCGTGTGTCCAAGGAGGCAGGGTATTTAACAATTTAACAATAAACTTTATTCAAAATGAGTCTGACATTAGTGCACTGAACAGTTTATTCAACTTCAATTCAATTCCATTCAACTTTATTCCATTGAAGTTTATTTCACTTTGGAACATTCATTATGAAATATATAAAACATATAATATATTTAAAAAAAAATTCATATCGGCGGCATATTCGCCGATACCAATATATCGGCGACAGGCTTATATCGGCCGATAATATCGGCTAAACGATATATCGGTCGGGCTCTAGTTCAAACTGTGATGAAGTGCTGTACAAATGCTGGTTTCATAGGATGTGTTGATATTGACGGATGTTTTTGTATGTTTGTACACTAGGCTTAAGAACAGGAAATCTTATGCCCACCCTGCCTCCAAAATCACTACTGTAGAAGCTGCTTTTTAGTAGACCAATCTGTTGTGACCAGAAGATCATGATTTCATTTTCCTCCAGGAGACGTGTTATTTGGATTGCATTCATCATGTTAAGTATATACAGTAAAGTACAGTTTTTGTATTTTAAGGTGAATCTCAAAGAAATGTTTGGGTCATATTTTGCCTGAGAATGAAAAAAAAATAAAAATAAATGAAAATTTATTAAATCACTTTGCCTATTTTAGCACAATCAGGATTTTTTTGGGGGGGGGGCATTTTTATGACAATTGAGCATAGTATATAAAATAAAAAAACTAATTACTGTAATGTAAAATATTCAGTTCTGTGATATATGAAAATTAAAAAAAATGCATTAAATTGATTTATTTAAAATGTGCATCAGTGATCATGATATATTGTGTATTATTGTAGCTTACTGACAATTTGAGGAAAAGGTTTAAACATACTTCCAAGAAAACTTGAAAAATAGGCAAAAAATTGTAATGCAAACCTTTTTTATGGGATTCACCATTCACCTTCAGTCTGTAGTCAAGCCACATCAAAGACAGTTGTACAGTATATTCTCCAAATTTAAAATCCTTAATGAAGTCAGCAGTATTACATAGTCAGAGGTCCAGTGAATCGGAAAAAGTACAGGCTTTTGTTTTTGTTTAGCTTGTCGTTCTTAGCATCTGGATGTTTGCTTTGATAGCAACTTTCTCCTGCTCAGTTTTCTTAAGTTTTAATGATTTGAAATGTCAGCAGCAGTGCTCAGACTGAACCAGTGTAAAATGACAATGCCTTTTGGATACTGAATAAGGGGGTTAAGCAGAGTATGAAAGCTCTATGTTCAGAACAACATGATTTTATTTAAAGATCCATTATTTCAAATGATCCTAAAAAGTACCCACTGAAGCATTATGCCATGCCCATTTTGTTTTTATTTTTAATTGTTTTATTAGTGCTTTTGTCAGTAAGTGGGCAGTGCCTATGTGATTTGAGTCTGTAGTAGATGTTTATTTGTAACCGTCTTGCAGTTGTACCTTTCATCTGGGCTAAGTATCAACAATGATCTTCACATTTAGAATCGTCAAAAAAACAGTCTGAACCTCCCAGAATCCTTGGTTAGTGTTAAATACATGAACTATTGACAGGCCAGGGCATCATTTTGGTGTGTTTAAAAAACGGCCTTTAAACATTCTCTGGTTTGTAATCAGTACTGTCATTTTACCCTGCACATTTTAGCATACTTCATGTTCATGTAAATGGCTTGTTCAAGCCACATTTTGCAACTCTGAAAGAAACTGGTGTTGGATTCCTATCTGATGCAAAACATTATAAAATGTATTAATGTAGTCAACCTGAAGAATAATTTAAATAAAAAGTGAAGAAACTTCATCTGATCTCTTCAGCGGTCTTTAGTTATATATAAACACATGCAATCTGGATTATGTAATCAGATTCCAAAAATTAAGTACTTGTAATTAGAGTATATTACATTTTAAAATGCTCATAAACAGATTACAGTTACGTTTATCGATTACATGCTTACGTATTATTCATACAATGGCAGTAACATTACTTATAATTGAATGATTCTTCCTAATTCTTTTTTTGTGTTTTAAATTTTTAAATGACATTGTTTTCATGTTTATTAATGTTTTTTTTTTTCGTATGATTTAGGGATTTGCAAACGTTTTGCCAGCCAAACCCCTTAAAATAAAATGTACTCGAAATGTCTCCGAGGAAGTTAATATTTCAAATAATTTACCAACATATTTGCATGTTTACAGTTCTCTGATGTTGGTTAATGGCCACATTGACAGGCAGGTAAACAAATACAATATATTTTTTAGTGTTGAAATTATTTTTATTTTACATTTTTATGATTTCATTATTTGCTTATCAACTCACAAACCCACTGCAGTTCTTACATTAACCCCAATTTGGGAAACCCTGGTGTTATGTAATGTTTAATGCATTTTATGTTAATATAAAAAAATAATATATATATATATATATGTGAAACAAGAACTTTATGACTCTTGGATTGTCATTAAAATCAACATCTCTTTATTTACAATGGTTTACATGAAGTTTCACAGAAACATCTCTCTTTCTTTTCATTGGACTCATGTAACAGTGCGAGCTCAAACTTTAGCAGTTTCTTCTTGCACACAAACAGCCCTGAAATATCAGCCATAGTACATAAACACATTATGATTGTACAAAAAATGTCCCTTGATAAATGTTTAAAAAAAAAGAAGAAGAAGAAGAAAGCATCAACATAAGCTATTCAATTTACAAGTAACACTTTTTTCCACAAAACAATGAAAAGCTAGCTTGTTCAATCTAGGCCTACAAATGACACCTTTCCAAAATGTCCTTTGAGAGGAAGACAAAATGTTTTCAAAGTAAGAGTTTAAAGGATATCCAATTTGAATGTGCATTAAAAAAATAAACAAAAAATTTAAATCATTGTGGAGACTGTCCACTGACTCATCAGAAAAAAAAAGACCAGGCCAGTATCAAAAATTATCAAGTTATTTTTATGAACTATCAGCATGATTGGTCTTATATATATATAGAGTTATATAAATAAAACATAGACTAAAGGGATTTACTTCGGAAATATGGACCAAATGTGTATGGTTTAATCTAAAAAAAAAAGGGATTTATGGTCAAGCATGCAGAGTAGTGAAAGTGTAAAGCTAACATAAAATATTCATATTAAATGTGCCAATTAATTTATCTTCTCTGCAGTGTTTATCTCATCTAGAAGAACAGTACATTCTGAAGATGAAAACCAACTCACACGAGATTAAAAAAACAAAAACAAAATGTCTTCAAGAAACAAACCTATGCTTTTTGTGATGGGAGTGGACCAGCTAATAGAACACAATCACACATTTTTATCAGAGCATGCCTATGAACATGAAAACAGACTCATCGATTAAGAATTACACCCTTATGAATGATTCCTCCGAATACAAGCTCCGCCAGCAAGTTCTGAAAACCCAAGATTTGTAGACCAAATAATAGCAGTTCAGTGTTTTGAATGTAAATATGACTACTACTAAGTAAGCCATGGCATTTCAGCATACGCAGGCAAAAATGTTCTTCACTTTGGCAATACAGAGAATCTCACAAAACCTGACAAGAACATGCCAAAGTGATATTGTTCCACAAAATGTGCAGAAAGAAAATTAAAAGCTAAATTCTTTCTTTCAGAAATGACAATATAAATAGAATCACCACAGAGAATAATGGGGAATATATATATATATATATATATATATATATAAAACTTATGGGGTAAAATGTGACCTGGATATGTTTTTGTGAGATTCTGAGATTCACCCAGTAAGGATATCCATTCCTTCCCTAACCTGTAATGACTCACATAATTTACATAATTAACATATTAAACATCTTCTTGGAGAAAAAAAATTACAAAAAATATCATCCTGTTTAGTAAAACATTGCAACATGCAAACAAAAAGTTTCTTGTTCAATGAAGGGCAGAAAATGCAGAAATTATCAGGATTTATAAATCAAAAAATAGAAATTACACAGTCTCTTACCACCAATTTGTTGCCAAAAATTAAAAATAATAATCAAGAAATACCACAATGTAGCAAGAACCGTTTCTGATGTTTCACTCCAAATCATCAGTGACTGCTGATGAAAACACGTTCAACATTATCCAACAAACAGAACTCTTTCCCTCATACACATTTGGGGGTCTCAGAAAAGATCCACACAAAATGATGAGTCTAAACACCTTGAACACTAATATCTTATTCATATAATATACATACTTTGACTAATAGACATACTTTTGAAAGCTATGGGTACAAAGGGGAATCTCTAGCTGCCCCTTTGTTCTTAAAAAAAGTGCAATCCGACACCCCAGTCCCTTCTTTCCAGCACAACTCCGAATGTGTCTAACCTTCAGCTGTGTACCATCACAACTGCAACTGTCCGTCTGTCTGGCAGAAATCTGCTCCAGTTAATGCATCATCCTAGTATTGATTGATTGACGCAAACATTTAGGAAGGTGAGAAATATTAAAAACACAAACAAAAAAAAGGGATGCAAGCAGGTCACTGATCCCTTCCTCTTCCGAACTCATTGAGTCTCATCTTCAAGACGACAATTTTACGAGTTTCTGTACATGTGGATGGGCAGAAGGAGAAGAGCGGCATCAGTCGAGAAGGTGTTTTCGAGAGCCCACTCTTGAGCGATTGGAGCGGCGAATGTCAAACTTTGAGTCTTTGCAGCTCTGGCAGATGTACGTCTCAGGGACGTTGGACTTGCGGATTTTGGCACATGAGAGGTGGATCCAGGTGTTGCACTGGTTGCATTCGATCATCGCCCTCCCGGCGAACGGCTTCATGCAGAAACATGTCACTAGGTCCCAGGAGTCATCATCTGCAAAGAGAAAGACGGTAAATTTAAAGATATATGAATACAATTGTAATCTACTTTTGACAATGGCAGACTCCAAAAGGAAAGACTTCAAGCGAAGAACAAACTGAGGTGACGTCATTTCGAACAAAATGGAGTTCGTTTGGAGTCAGAATCTATGGAAGCTTGTTTCCACCACAGGATAAATATATATATATATATATATATATATATATATACAGTATATATATATAAATATAAAATAAAAAAGGTAGTTGCAACTTTTTAACTATTTATTCTTTTTTTTTGCAATTCAGAGTTTATATCTCACAATTCTGATATTTTTTCTTGCAGTTCTGAGAAAAAAGTCAGAATTACAAGATAGTCACAATTACCTTTTTTTTATTTTTTTATTCCATGGCGACACCAAAAAACAGAATTGCAAGATGTAAACTCACAATTTACTCGAATAACGTGCTATTACAAGATATAAACTCGCAAATCTGAGAAGAAAAGTCCAAATTGTGAGACACAAACTCGCAATTGTGAGAAAAATTCGTAATTACGTTTAATATTTTTTAATTCCATGGCAGAAACCAAAAAAAACTAAAAATTGCAAGATGTAGACTTGCAATTACGAGTTTATAACTTGCTACTGCAAAGAGTAGCAAGAGTAGCAAAAGTCGTAATTACCTTTTATATTTTTTAATTCCATGGCAAAAACAAAAAAAAAAAAACAGAATTGCAAGATGTAAATTCGCAATTACAAGTTTATAACTTTTATTTATTATTATATATATATATATATATATATATATCATGTCAGAAACACAAAACAGAATTGCAAGATGTAAACTCACAATTGCAAGTTTATAATTCAAGAAATAAAACCGAACTGTGAGATGGCAACACGCAATTGTATTGTTTATAACTCGCAATTCTGAGAAAAAAGTTATAAACTCGAGATTATAAACTCATAATTGCGTGAAAAAGGACATAACTATGAGATCGCAATTACTTTTTTTTTTATTTTTTTTATTTCATGGCAGAAACCAGCTTCCATCCAAAACAGCTTGCCAAATGGAACTTGGTAAACACCTTCAAACTACCACTCCAGGTTGAAAACGAAACTTCGTGTTGAAGTTATCAGGGCCTGAAACGTCCTGCTTACCTGAATCCACCATGATGTCCTCATCATCCTCCGATCCATCCTCATCTCTAAACACCACCTGTTTCCCCTGACGGACCACAGTCCTTTTACCAGAAAAACCTTCTACCTTCGAGACTACTGCCTCTTCTTGAGTTTGTAAGGGTTTCTCGACATCCTCCGACTTTGGACTTGAACTTTTAGAACCGTTCCAGCAAGGACGGCCCACATCAGGCTCCTCTTTGCACATTGCGGTGGCCAGTGAACCCGAGGCAGGTTTTGAACACGTGCCAGTGTGCTTTGGCAGGTCTCCACCCATGCCGGCGGTGGGTACGGGGATGCTGAGGTAATCTTCCGGTTCTTCTTTGATGGTACATCCATAATTGGAGATCTCACCTTCGGCACTGGGAGGAGTAAATGGGGCGAAAGATCTCAATTCCTCATTCTTACTCTTTCTCAGCTTCTTCTTCTTCTTCTTCTTTTTCACCTTGTCGGCCTTCGTTCGACCCTCCAGCAGAAGACCTGCTGATTTCGGACGCTTCTGAGGCTCTGAATCCTCGCTCATGGGTCTTTGCACAAAAGTGCAGAACTTGTTGAAATCTTCCACTGTCCGTTTCCGCGTAAATGTTGAACTGTAACCCTGCAATAAAAACTAAATCAATAATGGCATAAAAAAACTGTTAAAGTGACTATTTTCACCTTTTTAAAGGTTAGTGTCACTTTTAAAAGACCATTTCATTTTTTTGAAAAGGAATAACACCACTTTTAACATTAGATTATGACCAAACTGCAGTACCAGATGTTGTTAAGCCAAACAAAAACGATGCAATGTATCCCTCAATAAATATAAATGACCATCATGCATTTCAGTCAATTTAAACCAAGGGTAAAAAGTATGAAAGTGTGAAACATGGAACAAAACAACTCAGGATTACATTAGTTAATGCGTATAATTTCGAGACCACTTATCAAATGGATTAAAAAAAAATAAAAATAAAACTAATGACTGCTTCAAAACAGGTAGTCCCACCCTAAACACATGCCATTGGTTGAGTCACTGTTGCTTGTTTGTTTTAAAGTGTTTACAGGAGAATCAACATAGAACAGTTTACTTATTGACTTCACAAGGTTGTTAATCAGTGGTATATGTTTATGTTTAAGCCATCAGGCTGCATAACTAAATTTTTAAATAATCATGTTTAATAGCAGAATACCTGGTGAAAAACTACTTTACCCTTGAATCTGCCAAAAAAAAAAACTCTGCCAATCAGAGAATCGAAACAAACAAATAATGCAAAAAATATATATTCTACATACAAAATCATCAATAGTTTTATATTTCTTCAAATTTTTATTAAATTCTATTTGATAATTTGATTGTTTGAATTGCTTATATATATATATATATATATATATATATATATATATATATACACATACACACACACACACACACACACTGCTGTTCAAAAGTATAAGATTTTTAATGTGTTTTAAAGAAGTCTCTTCTGTTCTACAAGGCTGCCTTTATTTGAACAAAAATACAGAAAAAAAACAGTAATATTGTAAAATATTATTACCATTTAAAATAATGGTTTTATGTTGGAAACAGTTGTGATGCTTAATTTTTATTTAAATTTTTTTGGAACCTGTGACACTTTTTTCAGGATTATTTGATGAATAATGTTAAAAAGAACAGCATTTATTTATAGTACTATTTAAAATGGTACTAACAATATAAAGTCAATATAAAGTATAAACAATATTTATAAACAATATAAAGTCTTTTTTCTCAATTTATAAATCTTCAATTTAACACATCCTTGCTGAATAAAAGTATTCTTTTCATTTCTTTCAAAAAAAAAAAAAAGAAAAAAAAATACTGCCCCCAAACTTATGAACTGTAGTCTATATTGTTACAAAAGATTTCTATTTTGAAAAAAGTATCAAAGGTTCCAAAAAAAATATGTCAGCGCGTCACTGCAGCTGAAGTCCCGGTTGCTATAGAAACAGTCAGCGCTCTGAGACATGCGCTCAGGACTGCGCATGCGCACCAGCTGATCTAGCCTGAAAAATAAGCTTTTTATAACGTTATTTGAGCAAAATAAACAACATTTATGACACAGTTGTTGTCAGATTTCATTGGTGATTTCAAATATAAAATTTAATCGTAAGCTTAGTGAACGGTTTTGGTGTTTCTCCATTCAAAGTGATAGGAGCTGCACTTGCATGCCCGAGAGGCGTTTCAAAGATGGCCACCGAGTGATATGACTTGCCTTAAGGGACTTTGTAATAAATCAGCATATTAGAATGATTTCTGAAGGATCATGTGAC